AATTTAAGTATATTCATTTAAAAAATGGATATGTCATAGATGTTTGAAAGCCATTTACCATGTCTGCTCTAAAATATTCTTTGTTATACACCATGGTTCACTATGGATCTTCTCCTACTTTATTGCTGCCAAGCATGGGTGAGAGTGGATAATTGGAGATGAGTAACATTAGAATATCTAGTAGACAATTAATAACGGTCATTCTTCCAGTCTACATCTTAACCATTCTATTAATAAAAATATGGATGTCCTGTTATAATACATTATGCTCCATTAGTCTCAGTAATTCTGTGCCCAAATCCTCTCCTTCACAATTTAGAGTGACTGGAATTTGGTAAACAACAAGGTTTAAGGATTTAGTTACATGATGCAACTCACAGTTCTAATGGACTGGAAACAAATGTGTTAGAAAAGGCATAATATGGACTGATCTAAGATCATATCTAAGCAAATTCCAATATAAAACAACCAGAGATAATCATATTGTCTGTGTGTGTGTCTGTGTGTGTACGGTGGTGAGGAAGGGATTGAATACAGTGAGAATAACTTATTAAAGTAGGAAGTGGAAGAGTCAGGGCACAAATCATGTCACAGTAAAGGTGATTACATTTTCATGTTAGTCAAGCTCTTAAAACAACTACTCCCAAACACACACACAGACATCCTCACCTAACCATAAACAAACTTGGTTTCACAATGATGGAAAGGCTAAAGGGCGATTTTGCAGAGTGCCGTTTAGTTCACTGGTGAGAGAAACAACACCAGCATTGAAGATAAACATATTGATGCTTTTTAATTACTGAAATCATGTATCTCCTCCATTAGGTTAAACTCAATAGGAATGAGCTATCTTGCTTCCTTTGAAAGGGTGATATTAGGCCATAATATCAGTAGTTACCTATAAGCAGTTACTGATTTTCCTACTTTGTACATCTCTATAGCGCTTTCTCTTTGTACCTTATGAATGTACACATCAATGGCATTTCCATATCTTTCTACGTCAAAGAGAAAACATGAATATTTAACTTGCATTGTTACATCTGTCTCTTTGTTCTGGATAAAATTTTGCAACATTAAAAAATTTCATGTGCAGTCAATACATTTGCATTTCTTTGTCTTATTTTCAGTTTTACCTCTGTCTTCATCTCAATGCTATTCTACTTTAACATAAAACAATCTTTTCTCTAGAAGAAATTTAAATTTCTTAAAATGTTTTCATACTGTTACATCAAATCTGTAGCATTAGGAGTCCCACTCAAATCAAAACTGCTTTAGAGTATATACAGACTTGTTCCTGGTGGACTTGAAATTATCCCTACATAACTGTATATTATCCTAGTTACATTCAAAATTCACCCCTTTCAACATCTGTAGATTTTCAAAGAATACATCCTCGCATATTCACTTTCAAAGCACCAGAAAGGAAATATCTGTATCATTTCCATCTTTCCATTTTCTTTAAGCAACTACTCTTCTACCCTGATAAATCACTGAGCCTTTCAATATGGGATTGAATTCTGTGATTCATTGCTCAGAATCCTTCCTCTTCTCTCACTCCCCAAAAGAAATCTCTCTCAGATGCCTGTCACTTCTTTCTCATTCCATGGACCTGTCTTCATCTGATGAAATGCCTAGACCCACTAAACAGATTGCTTTTGTATAGACACCTTGTTAGGTGTTGACTTATCCCAAACAAGTCCTGCCGTGAGAGGACATCTTTAGCTGCTGTGGAGATGGGGGGACTGTGTTTCTATTTATTAAGAAAGTCTGCAGTGTGATTCAAGATGTATAGATTTTTAAAATAATACAAGAAACACCCTTTCCCCCCCATAATCAACCCTTGTATTACCGTCTATGTATATTTATGAAAATTACTTATAGGATAGTGAAGAAAACAATTTTGGAATTAAAAAATACATTTCCTACATGTGTATGGATAGAGAAACCTTCCCATTATTTTTTATTCTTCCATGTCTATTTCTGTAAGAAACAAGTAATGTTCCCTTTTAGCTGCCTGCTGTTTTCTGCTGAAAGCAAACTGCACATGAGCCCAGAGTCATTCATTTTTTCTGTACTGTTCACAGATATCTGCAGACAATTGAAAGGAAGTTTCTGCCTTTCCATTTGTCCTCATTTTAAGATTTCTTATGATACTAGTTGCATAACATATAGTCTTTAAATTTGCCTGAAACTGGTCATTTTAATATTTCAAGCCATTGTTATTTTCAAAGATGAATCAACTTATATGCAAGAATATTTTAAAGAGAATTAATTTAGACAACACAGGATAAATTCACTTTCCTGTGAAAATAAGGAATTCTTGATTTGAAATGTTCCTTTTGTGAGGAGTAGGGGAAAACTACTTCAAGTGGTACTCACAATTTAAAAATAGAGAAAATAAGAAAGCAGTGTCACCTCTCTCAGAGCTTTGCTGAGTATAACACAGGAAGAAAGAGCCCCCTAACGGTTCAGCTTTCTATAAAAACTGAAGATGTACTTCCTGAATTCTTGTTTGTTCACTATGGCCAAAATGAGTAATCAGGAAAGAAATCTGATACCATCACAGTGAATGGAAGTTTGAATAAAATGTCAAACTGAGCCCTCTCAAAAACACAAAGAAAAGAAAGAATTCCTAAGCTGAATTGAATAATTCAATAGCTCGGTTTAGACTCAGACATGCTTATACACATGACTGCTAGGACCCTTGTCTTCCGCAATGGTGTTCACAGAAGAGCACTAATCTGAAATGCAGGTGACACATGAATTATAGTTGGAAAGTGAGAATTGTTGTTTTAAAAAGAACTTGCTTTATTTCCTTCCTGAGACAATTTCTTTTTAAGAAGATTGGGGAATCAAATCCCTTATAGGAGTAATCACAGAAGGTGTAAGATAACAGAAAAAGGCAATAGAGTGTAAGCTAAAAAAAATACCTAAGTACAAGAGGCATAGAGTTTAAGAAATTATTTTTAAAGTCTTTTTAACCAAAAACCATACCTATTCATAGAAAAAAATTAAGTAAGGGTGCTTACATCTACCCATGTTAAAATATGAATGGTCTCATAAAAAAGCATACAATTCAATAGATAATTTGTTCTTCAATGTAACTCATAAATGAGTGCTATAAGGAAACTGTACTGTATAAATAGGTTAGATAGTTAAGATTATTGCAGCAAAAATGATGGAATTTTAAATAACTTGGTGTACTATATTGAAAGATGACTAGATGAATTAGTTAAATCCTAATTTTATCCTTTGGAGAGATATGTCAGATTGTTTGCATAAACAATAAAGTGGAAGAATTAAAAACACAATTTGGGGTAAGTTGCATAGAAAATTAGCATACTCAATGTAATATAAGCAAATCAATAATTAAGCAAGATAATTAATAGATTTATAATAAAAGCTGCATATGTACTTGATATAAATTTCTACTGTATACATAAAATGCATGGCCCACAGTGCCTGACACCCTCCCCAATCAATAGTTTGGCATTAATCTCTAAAACATATACTCAAAAGAGATGGGTACATTTTTTTTTCAAATGACTCAGTTCAAAGATAAAAACATTCAATATTCTCTAATACACATTTCTATTCCTTTAGACAAATTGTACTTAACAAAATTTAAATTCACTGCTGATATGGTTATTGTAAGTGGAAACACCCAGGTAGGTATAGAATTTATATTTTATGACTAATTAAAACAGTATTCCACATTTGAAAGACAAAATAGATATCATGAAGAATTATTTTCCTCAAATATAAAGTTATACTTAAAATATAAGCAAGGGTGAAACACCCATACAAGTACAGGCAGTCAGGGTATGTAATATTCCTAAGTTCAGCTATGTTGGCCCCCAAGAGTATTGTCAATCATGTTCTTATTTGAAACATTGAAAACATAGTAAAAAGTTTTGCTGACTTATCACAGATAGCAATGTGATCTTTAATTAGAGCAGTGACTCAGAAAACCTCACTCAAAAGTCCACTCAAAACAGATCTTGGGATAAAATATCACTGCTCATTGATTCAAAAGCAAATAAATTGACGTAATAAAGGTCATAAACCAGTTTCATTTGAGTAAGATTGAAATAAACCCTCTTCTTCTGATAGCAGAATGCTGTCTCCTTAACAGTTGACATCTGTGACCTATACACCTAAGGTCAATCAGCCCCATCAGTACTGCATTGCTCTAACCCATTATTCATATTCTATCCAATCTCTTTCCTCAAAAAAAAAAAAAATAATAATCCTGTTACCGGCAGATAATTTAGTATGTGCGAAGTTCCTATATGTTCACACTTTACCAGTTGACACTGCAAGCATTAATTGATGGGACTGCAGCTCCAGCTATGAACTCTAGAAAAGCTGAACATCTCCATTCTTATTTCTTTGCCTTAGCTCTGTACTTTAAGATCAAATGCTAGCAATCAAAAGCTTACACATAATAAGATGGCAGTCTAATGTCACATCATTAAGACACATCATGTTTATATCGAAGAGTTAAGACTGCAATCAAAAGACAGATTTAAGAAGAAGAATAAGAAAAAAATCCCTGACAGTCATGGAAAAGCATAGAGTGGCTTCTATGCATGACATACAAAAGTAGCCATTTAACACAGTAATAGTCCTTTCATGATATGCTATTATTTCCCAAAGTTATTTAATAGTTAAGAACATTATATGTAAACATATTTTAAGGTTGTCACCAAAACTGCTCTTTTTAGTATGGACATTGCTTATTTCTCTTCTTCATACAGAGTATCAGCTACATAAACTTATAATCTTCTGGTCTTATAAAAAGAAACTTGTATGTACCCAGAGATAAAACATCAAAGATATTCTTACATACAACAACACATTTTAAAATCCACATGCCTATGTATTGCATTGACTCTAACACATCACTGCAAACTCAGTTTTGAAAACACATGAAGCTGTGATTCATTTTACTGTGAATGACCAAAAAGAATCCAGAGATAAAAATTTTATTTCCTTACCTGGAGCATGTAACTGTTTCTGTTCAATCCTGGAACAGAATGGGGCTGGAAAGGGGACTTGACTGTTGTTTTCTTTTCACAATCCTCTTTAGTGATGCAGGAGTGAGATGAACTATTCCAAGGTGAAGGCTGTTATTTCTTGCTGGGGCTCGTAGCTGACATCCTCTCGTAAAAGAAAAGGCACCTCAGTAAGTTGTTGACTGAGGGGGCTACAAAGCAAGGTAATCTGCCCCAGCAGTCAAACAGCGCTGCCAGGGAACAGGAACGTGCCCTGCCTCCCTCCGCCCCTCACGTTCCCCTCTCCTTTTCACCCTGACGCTCACTCAGCTCTGAGTCCAGCTCCTGCTGCCGTGTAATCAATCTAGCCTTTCTGAAGCTAACAGTCCTCTATTTAACCAGCCTATCAACAGCAAGGATTCTACTGCTAGTCCCAGGGGTCTTTTGCACGAGTCGTACAAACAAGAGTTTTGCCAGCAGTTTAGCCAAGTATTTTTCATTATTTTATCTCCCTTAGAGATAGGGCTTGAGAGAGCAGAGACTTGAAGCAAGCTGTTATTGCAGGTTCTTGCATTTTTAAAATTTACCCCTTCTTTTCCAGCTGACATCAAATTATAATGACACACCTGCTATCCATCATCATTTAGGAATTAGTGCAGAGTTGCATGTGTGATAAAATCATTGTAATTCAAATACATAAGAGAAAATTTAGAAGCAGAATTGCCTACACTGCCAAATGCTTTTTGCTAGCAACAGCAATGGCTTCAGTAGCCTGTATGGCTTGGGTCACTAGAGTACCCCCTTATATTGATTGATGTTAAAAGTCATGCATTTTACTATAGAAAAATAGTGATCTATATTTCTGTTTTTCATAAGGAAAGAGGGGCAGTGTTTGTAGATATTTTTGAGCTACAGCTTGAATCAGACTTCAGTGTATAAAATGTTCTTTCTTCAATTTTAAAGCATAAATCTACAAAAGGATCCGTCTAAATATATCAAATAGAGCATTTCACACCTGATTCATCCGTTCCAGGCTAAGGTTTTCCTCTTAAAGTGACACATTCACTGCTCCAGTGTTATAACCGACAGTAGTAATGAGGCATGAAACAAACCATTCCAGACCAGACTGGGTTTTCATTTCCTAAATGCTACCAGGGGGAAGGGGAAAAATGATATTTGGGGTCAATTTAGCACTAGTTTGTAAACTGGCTCCCCGTACACGGAGGGTAAGGGACACAAGGAAGAGGCAGGCCACTCCAGACTGGCTGGTGGCAGGTTCAGCAAGCAAGGGAACTTGCCTAAGCCTTGGGTGGTGGTAAGAAGGGTAGCTACACGGACCACCTATCAGAATCTTGAAAGTTTCTAGAGGCCTTACCTGCCTACAGTCATGTATATAGTCCAGACAGTCTCAACAGTACCTGGCCCTCGTGAAATTGTTTCCTTGAAAGTGGTTCCTACTGTGGGAATGGTGGGTAGAAGGGACAATTCAGGGCAGGGAGGAGGCACATCACCTGCGGTCACGTCCCCTTGATGACCTCCTCCAACACTTAACCAGACCCTAGTAATGTAGTCTTTCTTAATTTCTGATTAGGAGATGATTGCTTATCTCAATTTCACACTGCTTGGTCAACCAACCTTTTAGTTACTCTTTCTTTGTAATAATGCATTACTGCACTCATTGAAGTGAATTGTATAGGAATACTTAACTACACCTCAATTCCCAGTTGGAATTAAATTTCAGGCAGTAGTCATTGTAGTTCCAACGTTCAACATCATATAATACAAACAAAAGTTTGTAATACATGCCAAAATGTCTTGTAAACAGGGACCGAGAAGGCTATAGATAGTATGGTCATGGAGTTACATTCAATTAGAGTCCAAATTATAAAGCGTTATAACATTTATTAGAGGCAAACTTCCTTGATTTAATTGACTCAGTTCAGCAAGTATTTATTGAGCAACTCTTTGTATCTGGCCTTGTACTTTCAGTAATAGAAAAGTAATTAAGAAGAGAGCAGGCTTCTTTGTATTCTCCCTATTTTCAGTGTACTGTAAAAGCAGTAGTCAATCTTCCAGGAGCTTTCAGGCTAGTGGGTAGATAAGGAATTCTCCAATAAACCAAATACAAGGGAGAGTGATTATTACCTGCTTTATCAGTAGTTCAAAGAGCAGTAAGTACTTGAGAGCAACATCATACCTCCTCTAGGAGAACAGAAAAACCCTGAGAAAAACATGGCATTCACAATGAATGATCAAAGACAATAACAAAGATTTTACAGGCAAAGGAAAAACGCTTAAAGAGGAGAGGGAAAACATGGGCAAACTACTATGGAATCAAAGGAAACACCATGTCGGGGAGGGGTGTTGGAGGATGAGCAAAGTAGGTTCAGTGGCTGGAACACCAACAGGGCTTAGAAGGTACGACTAGAAATAATGGAATTAGATGGAGGATCTTGGATGCTGAGCTGAGAGTATTTGGGAAACTGGGTGTCTTTTAAATATCTTTTAATGGAAAAGTGATAAAATGTGAACTGTGCTTTAGGAACCTCAAGTAGAATTTGCAGGTATTCCTGGAACGGAGCCCTTATAAGAGTTGCCAGTCACTACGGAAGCCATGGCCAGGGTCTCCCTCAGCAGTAAGGAGGGGAGAACCAGCGGGCTCATGGTGGGACTGAGCACAATGAACTAATATTGAGAAATGCACCAAAATAAAGTCTCTGTATGACTTTGCAACGTACTAAGGAGAGGCACAGCTTAGGAGGACTTTACTTTTGCAACTAAGAGGAGTCACTAAGAAAAAAGTCACAGTATAAATGTCACTCACTTCTCCACCATCTTCCTTTTTGCTTGTTATAGAATTCATCCTTCCTTAATATGTACATATATATGTACATGTTTTATTCTGTTTTATGCAATTTCCTATAATAATGTAAACTCCATGAGGAAAAAGAATTGGATTTTTTCGGACTTTTTCCCACACATTTTTTGGAATTGTGCCGGACAGGTCTAAGTTATTTGACTTGAATGACAAAATAATTGCCATTTCTTAGAGTGATTGAGAATTCCATACATGATAAGTTCTCAATGAATAATTCTGTAAATCTTTTCTCATTTATGAATATAGAACACTCTATGAAGTAGACATTATCCTATTTTACATCTGAAGAAAGGCAAACTTGAAGAGGTTAATTACCTTGTCCAATGATGCACAGCTAGTAAGTATCTGTTGAAATCAAAGCCCATTATTTGTACCAATGTTGAGGTTTCAGGAACCAGTAGGCAGTATAATAGAAAATGATAATCTGGATATTGATTTGTGGGTCATATAATTGGAACAGAGAAGGAGGCAAAACATAAATGAAATTAAAACTAGAGAGTCAAAGGGAAGTGTATGTGATGGATAGGAAGCTGAAGTTTTCAAATTCAAGAATCTCTAGAGTTGTTATTAAGAGTAAAAAGGACTGTTAGAAGGTATTGGGAGGCAGGTTAGTGAAGTGCTCTGTGAAATACAAGGAACTGCTGAGGTGAATTACAGTGGGGACCTCTCCAAGTAGAAGGAGAAGGTTGGCTGAACTGCTCTCAAGGCCCTGCTGAACCTGCAAGCCATAAATTTCCAGTGGCACCAGTCTGTAAGATTGGACAGATTTCCTGAGCTGTGCTCAGCAGCTTAGTGCCTGAGAGACTGAAAGGACTGATAGAAAGCAAAGGCTTGGTTTCTTTTATAATAAATTTGTGAGGAATAGGACAAGAGAGAGATTTGGAGGGTGGGGAGGAAGAGACTATTTTGCATAGGTTGAGTGGTTTTAATAATTGGTGATATTTCTGAACATGAGGTGAAGAACAAGTTGAAAAGATACAACTTGAGAAAGCAAGTGAGAGATGCTCAATTTATTGAGAGCATGAAGGAGATGGTAGGTGGAGGCAAATAGCTTTGTGGAGTATTTAGTGTAGAGAGAGAGGAAGGGGTGATTTCTTTGAAAGCAAGAGTAAAGAGATATGGTATATCAAACATTATTCTGGTGAATTTATTTATGCCAAAAGCAATAACAAACACCTTAATTTCCAAGTAACCTACTGTGACCTGGGAATTTCAATATATGAAAAGGATTTATTTTCTCTTTGAATTGACTGATCTAATGAAAAGATACATATATATTTGCAATTATCTAAGACTTATATAACTATTAATATGAGTAAGTTCTACAGTAAAATTGTATACAGAACACTTTTATGTTTGGAAATGGAAAGGTCTAATATTGGAAGATGTTTATACAGGCATGGTGAGGAGAGTTGAAGAATAGTATCAGAATACTTCAAAAGAGAGAAGAAACAAAATGTTTAAACAGAAAGCAAAAAGGGTGAGGATATTTGAGCTTCATTTTGGATTCACAAGCTTTTAAAGATAGGAAATAGTGTGATGAAATGAACATAATAGGGTGGTTAACCACAAAGGTGGGAAATGCCAATCAGTAATGAGTTTGCATTCCATGTTAAGAAGAGATTGGAAGGAGAGAAACTAGTGAGGCCAGGGTATGTTTTCACTCTTATATTATACCTTTTTTTCCTATAATTTTGTTTAAACAGGGAAGAAATAAAACCATACAAATGATATAACCATACTTTAGAATATTTTTAGAACAAAATATTTTTAGAAAGAATGATATTTTAGAAATAATAGTAGTAGTAATGTTTTGGAAAGTGTTCAGTGGCAACAAGAGAAAAGGGGAGATTTTACAAAGGCACTAGCTGTGGGGATGGAGATGAGGGAAAAAGAATTTTGTAAGTGATAAAATGTGCAGGGCTTGATGAATTATTGAATGTTGGGTAAGTATGTAGACAAAGATTTATTATGGGTCTATTTAGATGTTGAGTGATGAAGGGGCAGAAAAGGTGTATTTTGATTTTGGAAACCATGATGTTATTTGTGATGGACATGTAAGTACAGATTCCTGTATTTACTAATTGGCCCTTTGGTACTTAGGACAGGTATCTGAACAGCAGGTATAAATATTGTAATCATTTATAATAGCCAAGAGAATCAAGAAAATATGTGTAGAATAAAAAGATAAAAGAAAAAAGGCAGAGAAATGGAGAACCCTGACATTTGAAAAGTGATCCACAGAGATAAGTCATTGAATGATCTTGAGAAAAATCAACACGACAAATCCAGAAAACGTAAATAAAAAGAAGCCACAATGAAAAATGTATCAGGCATTCCCTTGGTGCTTTACGAAGGGCAGTTTTATGTTTTATGTTGCGGTCCCTTAGGGTAAATTGTAATAACGGAGATGACCAGTGAATGGAACACATAAATAACC